GGGTGGGGGTGGTGGTGGATTGGGGGTGGTTTGGGGGTGGTGGATGGTGCTTCGCGGGTGGGGCGTGGGTGGTGGTCACCCCCCACGTTTGTTCGATAATGGTGGGTGCGTGGGTGATGGGTGGTGAGTGATGAGCACCATCATCGAGGGCATGGGCAGTGGCCAGGTTGTGCGTAGCTGGACCGAGCCCGCAGCGCCTGCCGCGGCTTGATGCTACCCCAACAGCGCCTTCCCAGCTGGCCCAACTGTGCCCGCCGCCCCTGCTTTGCTGGCAGTCGCTCGCACCGCTCTGCGCGCTTTGGTGTGGCCGGCGGCGGGCCCGGCCCCATGCAGGCTCGCCTCTGGCGCCTCCTGCGTGAGGCTCGACAACCGATGCTTGCTGCGGCTTCCACTGATGCCGTTCCGAACTGTTTCATGTCCCCCAACATCCTTGCTCAACTCTGTTCAGGGCCGCCTGCCAGTACCGCACCGTTGCCATGGAGCAGCCGCCCGGCATGGAGATCGTGGCCGGCATGGGGGAGGCGCTTGAGGAGCTGCTGCGCAAGAGGAGGTGCGCCCCCTTGCTGCTCTTCATGTCCCGGCCTCCGGGCCGCTCGAGCGCTGTCGCAGGGGGGCACGCCTGCAGGGCGGCTGGTGCCGTGGAGCCTCGCGGCGCGGGGCAATTAGGGGGGCCCTGCGGGAGCTTTGCTGGGTAGCCTGTACAGCCTTGATTGCACACATTGCAGCCTTCATTGCACACATCAATGCGTGCACGGCCTGCGGCATCGATCAGGAGGCGGCAGGGTACCCTCCCCTGGCCCGCCAACACCAGCCACCCACGCCAGCCCGCCGTCTGTCCCTGCAACCAACCCACCAGGGAAGCCACGGGGAAGCTGCCCGACGCGCTGCTGGTGTACCGCGACGGCGTCAGCGACAGCCAGCTGGGAACAGTGGTTGATAGGGAGGTCGGGCCCATGAGGCGGGTGAGGCGGTGGTGGTTGGTTGGTTGGCCTCACATGGTATTCTTGGCGTATCACCTTGCGCTGTATGCCAAGACAACCTGCTGCTGCAAATGCATGGTGGGGATTTACACAGAAAGGGCGCCACACTTGATTGTGACAACGCACCTGACCAGCAAACATGGAGGACCGGCATTCAAGTACATATTTCCAACTGTTGCCGCCGGCCGTCCCACAATTCAGGCGTGTGCCGCCGTCGGTGGGCCGTCTTACGCGCCGCCGCTCACGCTGCTGGTGGTGTCGAAGAGCCACGGGCTCCGCATGATGGCGGTCACGGGCGAGGCAGGGGCGGGCGGCGAAAGGCTGCCAGAGGTCGACAACCCCCTGCCGGGCTCTGTGCTCGACCACACAGTCACAAGGTGGGTGTACGCGCGCGCCCCGCACGTATTCGTGTGTGTGTGTGTGTGTGTGTGGAGGGGGAGGGGTGCGGCCAAATTGCAGGGGCTGGGCTCTTGGACACGCACAAGCCCCAGGCTTCAGGCGGGCACCACCAGGCTTACTGTACTGCGTGCGCTTGCTGGAAACATCCTTGTTCTTGCTGCCGGGATGCACAGTCAACAACGAACTCCCCACAAGGAGCTCCTCCCGCCTCAGACTAGGCACCCGCCCACCACCTGACCAGCCCCACCCACTCGCCCTCGCACCCTGGCCCAACCGCCCCCAAGGCCCCTGGCGTATGAGTTCTACCTGGCATCCCACGCCGCCATTCAGGGAACGTCACGCCCCAGCAAGTGCGCGCACCAGTCTCTCAGCCCAGCGCACGCCTCTTTTCGCTCTGCTGCCCGCCGTCGCTTGGCCCCTGCTGGCGCCCCCGCTTCCGCTGTGCAGGCCTGGTGTCCTGGATGGTTGTCTGATTGGCGGAGTCGGTGTGGCATTTGCCGAACTCGCTTTTGAGCGCTGCAGTCCTGAGTCTTCCGGCCCCTTACATGCTTCACTCGTGTCCTGATGACCGTCCACTGTCAACTGCCGACGATCAACCGCCAACCACCGTGCAACCGCCACCTGTCATGACTCATGCAGGTACCAGGTCCTGGTGGATGACCGGGGCCTGGGCCCTGATGCGCTGCAGCTCGTCACCCACTGGCTCTGCTGCACGCATGGCGCGTGCTCACGGTGCGACACCGCGCTGCCTGCACCCCTGTCAAGCGCCGCCCCATGCGCGCCGTGTCCGGAGCCCCTCCCCGCGGCGGCCGCCGCAGTTGCGACCGGGCGCCTAGACTCCCGCCGCCCTGCCCAGCTGCATTTCGCCCTGTTTGAGGCCGCCGTTGTCCTGGGATCATGACACGTTGGCTACGCAGCCCGGCCTCAGTCTGTGCCCGCACCTTTAATCCCCCCAAATATCTCCCAGATCTGTTCGCCAGCCGGTGCCTGCTCGGTACGCAGACCAGGCGGCAGCCGCGGCGGCGCTGCTGGCCAAGCGCGGCGCGTGGCCGCAGCGGCAGCAGGCTGGCGGTGGCGGCGGCGGCGGGAGCGGAGCGGGGGCGGACCAGGGGCCGCAGTACCGAATGATCCCCCTGGCTGACACGCTGGCAGGATCCCACTGGTACCTGTGATGTGGGTGGTTTGAACAATAACAATGAGAGAAAATGAATGATTGGAAGAAGCACAACAAAAGAGCGAAGCAACTGGACCCTGTGGTTTGGTTGGGGTCCACATTTCCTGCAATACTTCGTTGCCGGCGCACAGGTTGAGAGATGAGCGTTTGGGCGGCTGCTTGCGGACTGGTGCGATGCAAGGGCACGATTGCAATGTTGGCGCAGCGGGCAGGACGAGGGCGTGCCTCGACTCTGAAAGCCGTGTTGCACTCGAGCGCAGGCCGACCTGGCGCACCTGCTGATTGTACTTCCAGTTGTATCTTTGTTGACTGTACATCAGGCGTCGTGAATGTAACTCAAGGTGCAGGATTTCAGCCACCGGCGACGAGGGGAGTCGCCCACTGTGCTGGTGCTGAGGTGCGAAAACAACCGCCACTTTGCTCATTTGCGGAGGCAATTTAGACCCTGCCAGTGGCCCGGCGAGACTGCTGAGAGGAGGGCGCGTGGAATGTGATAGTGGAGCGGCCTGTGTACAGATTTGCACAAACACATGAGATACCGGTACAGTTCGTGCTATCGCAGATCGCTGTGAAGTCCTCGCTGCTGCGAGCACTGCCCGCCATATCGCCAACTAGTAAACGATAGTCTTGCATTATAGCGTGGTCTGACTATCAGTCGCAAGTCATGCAGCAGCTGGACAGAGGTGCATTGTCGGCACTCCTCGCTGGAGCGCTGCGTCCATCCGCCCTCGCGCTCGCTGCCCGAGCTTTGTGCGGCAGCCAGGCCCAGCCCCCGCCCCAGCACCGACATCGTCAACAGCAGCAGCAGCAGCATCTGCATCGTGCCTTCACGTCCCTCCCCGTGATCGACGTGGCGCCCCTGGTCAACCCCAGCCTGGTGAGGCGCCAAGACTGCCGCCCGACGCACCGCAGTAGGGCCAGCTGATTGTGTAAGGCAGCCAAATAAAATTGTATGTGGGAGCAGTGGTCAGAAAATTGCAGATGCATTGGCCCACAGGCACGAGCGATATGTGAGCTGTCCTCACAAGCTCTCGTCATGGCACTGCGCCTGTGTTGCTGGCCCCACCCACACACTCCTCCGCGGCCCCTGCCCCCCCCCCCACACACACATACAAACACACCATCCACACACCCCCAGGGTGACGCTGCAAAGGCGCGCTGCGCGCGAGAGCTCCATGCGGCCTGCAGGGACGTCGGATTCTTTGTCATCAGGAACCACGGTGAGGCCCCGCGGCTTCCGGGCGGCTTCCAGGCGGCTTCCTGGCGCCGGGGCATCAGCGGTACCCTGCGCCGGCGGATGGGAGCGCCGCCGGCTGCCCCTGGCACACGCTTGCGCTAGTTCCCGGCGGGGCTGGTGGCGTGCAGGGTACCAAGCTGCAGCAACCCTTGCTGCTCTTGGGTGGCAGTCCGCTGCTGCCTCCCCATGCCCCACGCCCCCTTGGTGAACGTTTTTTTCACCTGAGGCCGAGCCGTCTCACACGTGCACGCCTTGCTATGGCCCCGCATGTTCACAACGCCAAGGCATGCCCGCTGCTGTCTATGAGGGCGTTCTGCGGGAGGCGCGGCAGTGGTTCGGCCTGCCGGTGCGCCGCGCGGCGCTGCCGGGCAACGCGCGCGCCGCCTGGTGTCAACAGGCGACCCTGAGACGGCCCCACACCGGCGCCCTCCCCCCGCCCACACCCCGCGGCCCGCCTGCGCGTCACCCGCGCGCGTGGAGCGCCGCTTGGCGTCGCGCCGCTGCATCTTCACGTGCCGTTGGTTGTGCCTTCGGTCGTGCGCCTCCACCTAGCCTCAGCGCCACTGGTTCCCTGCCGCGCCGCCTCCCGCAACCCCTCACGCCCGGCCCCAGGATTCGTCCAAGCGTGCCATCCAGCTGCGGGGCGCAGCCACGAGCTACCGCGGCTACCAGCCTCTGGGTGCCAACGTGACGCGGCTGCCTGGCGGCGGGTTCACACGAGACTGGCACGAGGTCGGGCAGGGGGGGCCGGGACACCGTCAAAACGTTGAGCCGCACGCCCCCGCCCTCTTGCAACACCCTGCGTGCCCTTTGCATTCCCACAACGCCTGCGGCTGGCATGCACACAGCATCATGTTGATCCAAGCCCGTTGCGTCCCCATCCCCCATCCACAATGCCCGCCCTTTTGTGCTGTCAGGCCATCGATCTGTTCAAAGAGGAGGACCCCGCTGAGGTTCAGGTGGGCGGGGTCGGGGGACACCATGGGAGTCGCTGATGTCACAATGACATCACATCCGCCCCCCCATCCGCCTGTTGGAGGCGCAGATGATGCACCCTCAGGACCACCCCAACGCCCCATTTTGGGGCGAGGTCGCGTCGGCCTCCCCAACCGGCCTGCTCATCAGCACGGTCTGCTGGGATCCTTTGCATAGGAGAGTGCTCAAGGTATGCTTCACAAGCCACACGTTCCCCGTTCACTCCACCACCCTCGCCGCTCTCCCCCCTCCCACTCAGGCGCGGGGCCTGCCCCCGAGCCCCATCCATGGCCCCAACCTTTGGCCCTCCCAGTCGCCGGCTTTCGAGGCCGCCCTCAGATCATACATCAACGGCTGCCTAACCTTGGGCTCTGCGCTGCTCCGAGGCATCGCCCTCGGCCTCGGACTGCCAGAAAGCGCGTTCGGCGGTGGACTGGCGGCGCCGGAGCGGTCCTACTGGGTGGCCAGGGTGATCCACTACCCGCCCCTGGTGCAGGGCAGCGCGCAGCCAGGCGGCGGGCGGCTGCAGGAGGGTGCGGCAGCGGCGGCGGCGGGTGCGGGCGCTCGACTCTGTGTGTGTGTGTGTGTATGTGTGTGTGTGTGTGTATGTGTGTGCGCGCGTGCGCGTGCTCGTTCGTGCGTGCGTGTGTGTTTGGGGGGGCAAGGCAGGGCATGCAGCAGGACGGGCTTGCCTGAGCTGAGTGGGCTTCAGATTAATGTGATATGTATTGGTTGTGGGATAGTGGCGTCCGCATATGGCCGCCTGGGGCTGGTGGCATGCGCCAGCGAGCTCCTCATCCTCCTGGATTACGAGGCCTCTCCCTGACCATCGGGGCCCCTCGACACCGCGACTCCCGGCCAGGTGCTGACATCAGCCGCGACGTGCAGCTGAGCTGCGGCGAGCACACCGACTATGGGCTGTTGACCCTGGTCAACCAGGAGGGCCACGTCAGCGCGCTGCAGGTGCGCTGGTGGGGGTGCACTAGAGTGGGTGTGGGCACGTACATACGAGTGTCTATGTGGGGTGAGAACAATACATTCGCGAGGAAGGGAGGGTGTGCGAAGGCTGTCAGGGTGTATGTGGTGCGTGTGACATGAACCAAATCGCGCACATGGCGCCGACATGTCAAGAGAGGCGGCTCAGACTTCCCGCCTGGGTTGAGGACGGGGAAGCACGCACGCGCGACCTGGCCCAAACCAGCCAGCCGGCTGCTGCGACAGTTGCTCTAGCAGGCCGCGGCGCCCCTCGCTCTGAGCCGGGCCAAAAATCTCTGTCGTTGTCATTGTCTGTGCGTGACTCATGTCATGACTTTGTCACGACTTGCGCACCCCGCCTTGCTGTTGTGCCCATCCCTCTCAGGTGAAGAACGCGGCTGGCGAGTGGGTGGACGCCGCACCCATCCCCGGGACCTTTGTCTGCAACATCGGTGAGGACCCAGACCACCAACCACCCAACGAACCCAGCGAGTCACCCCGTGGCACTGCAAAGCCGGTGGGCTACAGGCCCCGGGTCGCCTCGCCGCGCGGTTGTCAGCAATGCCGGGCTTGGCGATGGCACATGCAGGCCCCTACTCCCCGGCCTGCACTCCCAACGCGCCGCAGCCGCCACTCGCGCGACGTCCGCCCCTGGTTTTCCTCTACACCGGCCCTCCCATTTGCAGACACACATACTGCAATCCCGCCAACTGCATGCCAACACATGCCCCCGCCCCCGCCCCCGGCCCCAGGCGACATGTTCCAGACGCTCACCAATGGCCTCTACACCCCCACCCTGCACCGCGTCCTCAACACCGACCCCGCGCGCTCGCGCGTCTCGATACCGTTCTTCTACGAGCCGGCCTTCGAGGCCACCATAGCGCCGCTGCCCCAGCTCGTGGCCGCCGCAGCGAGCGGTGCAGCGGCCGGCGGCGCAGGGCCGGCCGCCCGGTTCCCGTCGGTGCGCTACGGCAGCCACCTCGAGTCCAAGGTGCTGTCAAACTTTGAGCTGTAATGGTGGCGTTTGAAGCGGTGGATATTAGTGACCCCCCAGACAATCAGGCGCTGAGTCGGCTGGGGTTGGGGCCACGGCCAGGATCAACAAGGTCGTGAGAACATGCTGACAGTGCTTGCAGTTGGGGGTTGAGAGAAAAGGAAACAGGAATGAAAACAAAAAAAGCATGAAAGCATTGCAGGCCCAGAGGATGCCAGGAGGAGTGCTTGGACCCCAGCAAAGTTTGTACCTCAGCCCTTGAGCGGCTGGCTTATGTTTGGATTGACAGGGAGCCGTTGCCGAGGCACAATGTATTGCCGTGCGTCGGAAAGCCTGGGCCGCATTGCAGTCATCTGGGGGCTCAGCTGGTGGGCCGTCACGCCGACGCGGCAGCCGCGTGAGGCTCAAAACGACGACGCCAAACGGCGCGACGCGGGTGCTGACAGCGGGCGCAGGCCGGCCCAATGACTGCGGTCCTTGCCCAAACTTATCTTGGCTTGATTCCTGCCACGCACACCCAAATGCACGCGCCCGCGCTGCGAGACTACCGCGCGGCCGCCGCCGCCGCCGCCGCCGCCGCCGCCGCATCGACCGTCAGCTCCCGCAGCCCGGCCTGCACGCACGGCATCGACGGCACCCAGGGCGCGCACGCAAGCATGTACGCCGAAAACTGCTCCGGCCTCGCGATGCTGCAGAAGATGACCAGCCACGTGATGAGAAAGTTCCAGATACCCTCCTGCAGGTTCGAGTCCAGCGCCGCAACGTGCTGCGCCCGCCGCGCCGGGTCTGATGCGCCGCCCGCGGCCGCGGCCGCCGCGGCGGCCTCGGCCATCAGGCGCGAGCGGTCTGCGTGGATGCGCGCGATCCGCTCGCCCCAGGCATCCACGGCGGCGAGGGCGACCGCCAGCTGTTGTGGGTTTTGAGGGGCGGGGCAATGTTTGAGTGGTGGGGGCAATGTTTGGATGGTAAATAGCACCACACACGCAGTCCCTGCATGGAGGCCCATCCATTGGACGACATAACGGATAGTGCACCCAGGCGCGTGCAGCACGCGCAGCCTCGGGCACGCGCCCCCCACAAGGCCGCGGCTGGCGCGCTCGCCGCAAGCCTCGTCTGCGCTGCACGTTCCGATGCGCGATGCCTCAGGCCGCAGCGGGCCCAACGCCCCAGCCCTGGGCACCTCACCTGATAGGGATCGAACGCGAGCCGCCTCGCCGCCGCCTTCCAATGCGCGTCGCTCGGCGGCGGCGCCGTCGCCGCCGTGCTGGGGCCGGAGAGGGGCGTGGCGAACAGGCGGGGCAGCGCGCCGCCGTCCCGCAGCGACAACAGGACGAGGTGAGCGGCGAACTCGGAACGCAGCGCGCCCAGCCGCCCCACGGCCGCCGACGCCGCCGCCGCTGCCCAGGCCCCTCGCTCCGCGAGGCTGCGGGGGCGGCACGGTGGGGTGGGGAGGCATGGATTCGCAAAAGGGGGAGGAGAGGGGCGCTGTCGGGTCCGTCCCTGGGTGCAAGCTCGAGGGGTGGTGGGTGCCTTGATATTCAGGCGGCCGTTCATGGCTTGTAAATATTCCAGCAGCAGTGCCCACACCCCTGCATGCAGCACGATTCGGGGCCCGTGCGCGCGTCCGTGCCAGCGCCGTCGCTCACGGCAGCAGGCTAGGGCTTTCTTGCAGGAGAGTCCGCAGCTTCGCAATGAGCCCTTCGTGTGACAGGTCAGCTGACGCGGCCGCCCGCACCGCCGCGGCAGGCGACCAGCCCAGCAGCGGCTGCCGCAGGCCGGGCGGCTCCCTCTGCTGTTGCTGTTGCTGCTGCTGCTGCTGCTGCTGCTGCGGCTGCTGCGGCTGCTGCTGCTGCTGCTGCTGCTGCTGCGGCTGTTGCTGCTGTTGCTGCTGCTGCTCCTCCTCCCGCTGCTGCTGCTGCTGCCTCCCGTCTTGCTGCTGGTGGGGTTGCTCCCTGCTGGGCACCGCTGTGCCGTTGCCGGCGCTGCTTCGCGCTTCAGCCGCATGCATGAGACGCCCGCCCAGACCTTGACACACCAAGGTTGAGGGCTCTGCGCTGGCCTGCGCCCCAAGCAGACCCAACAGCTCCACCACGGCCGCATGATGCGCATGCGCGAGGCGCTCGGCGGCCTCTTGTGCAGTCTGCGCACCCGCCTGGAGGGAGCAGCGCTGCACCTCACTCTCCAACTCGTCTAAAGACATTCCTGACTGCCGTCCTTGCAATGGCCCCGCCGCGGATTGCCCAAAGCAGGGTTCGGCTGCAACAAAGCTGGCGACGTCGGGATGGACGAGTGCCGGCACTTGGTAAAGGTTGAAGTTTGTAATTTTATAATCAAAACGACACGGTGATGGAGGGCATGCCTGGGGGCGCGCCCAGCCACCTGGGCAGCAGCGGGTGGTGCTCGCGTTTGCGCTCGTGCTCCAGGAGCAGTCAGAGCTCATGTGTCGCAGGCACTGGAGCAACTCTGGAAAGATGAGTGAGGGCTGGTTTCCAAGAGTTCGGCCAAGCAGTGCAAGCAGTGGCGGGAGCGCGTGGAGTCAGAGGCGGGTGTTCAGGACGCCGCCGGGCTTGCGGCTGCCAGGTGAAGCTCTAGCTGCCCGATGAGGTGGCCTCTGAGGCGGCCAAGCTCGTCAAGGCGGGCTCTGAGGTCATCAGGCCTGTGCGTGGCAGCCAATGCCTGCCGGCGCGCTGCAACGGCTTCCAAACCGTCGGCGCCCGCCAGTTGCTGAGACCCCGGGCTGAAGGAAGTCCTGGGCCGTTGTGACATCACCACTGACCACCTCTTTCGCCGCATGCACGCGTTCGATCTGGGGCTGCACTGGGGCAGGGTGGATGTCAAGGCCGCGCTGAGCTACGCACACACACACAAGCTCACTCGCCTGACCTAGGCGCGCAAGGTGCTGGCCTTGATGGCCCAGGGTCCCAGTGTCTTTGACCGGGGGGTGTGGGCGCACGGATGAGGTCAAGACTCGGCTGTTTTCAGGGGAAGCCTCTGACGTGGATGTGTGGTGTGACGCGCACGATCAGGGGGTGCGGCTGGTCGTGCCTGGCTGCGGCACACACAGTCTGTGGTCCAGATCAAAACCGATCGTGACAGCGATGTGATGACGGTTGCTGCTGGGCCCATCCCTCCGCCCTGCAAGGGCAGCGCTCACCTTGAGGAAGATAGACGAGCGTCCAGCCTTCTAGCAGGACACTGAGCGACGGCGGCTGTCACGCCAGCTTTCTCGGGGCGGCTGCTCGCGGGGATGCATGTTGTGGCTGTATAGCTGTGTGACCCAGCTGTCCCCAGTCTCCTCCCCAATTGGCAGAAGGGGGATCATACTCTGGCTTACACGAGATTGGGATCCACAGCAGACGGCAACGCGTGGGGAACGAGGCCGAGCACATGCTCTTGTACTTAGCGGCGAGCGCGGCTTGAAAAGCGACGAGATCCATGCGGCAGGCGGAAAGGTGGCTGGGTGGCAGGCCACCCGGAGCTGGCGGCGCGCCGGAGCTGGTTGCGCGTGACAGCTGCCGCGTACAATGCGCGCCGGTGCGCAGCGGGCGCCGGGTGAGGGCTGTGGCCAAGCAACCTATGCAGTACAACCATGACTAATCAACCCCCTCCCCCGGGGACGGCGGGCGTGGAAACGCGCTCGTCCGTCTCCACAAATGAAACCCAAACAGCAATGCATGCGGGGCGCGCGAGAGTGCGAAGCACGGGCGGCCGTGCGTTTCAAAAGCGGCGAAAAGCAGGGGTGCAGCGCGCGCGGGCGGTGGCAAGCCAAAAGACGCAAACTGTGGCAGAAGGCGGCAATCGGGTGCAAGACAGATCAGCGGCCAAACTGCAGGTGCATGCCAGAGTCACTCATAGCGGGCTGCGCGGTGCCAGGACAGAATGTACAGGCAACGCAGGGCGCAACAAGAACTGAGCCAATTGTACAGAAACTGTATCATTTGCATTGTGAGGTGATTCCAATTGACTTGCCTGAATTTTCGGGGGGGCCAGTAAAATGACTCAATTATTCAACTGATGCACGGTGAATGGCTCAATTCAAGGAGTGTGAAACGGGTGATTCAATGACTTTTTTGTTTTGCCGCATGCTAATCAAGCCATTGATTCAAGCCCATGGAAACAGGGCCTCAAGCCCGATTAGCCACCCATGTGATTCCACCCCACGGGTGGATTCCACGGTGATTCAGGCCCATAGAAACGGGGCCATGATACTTGCTTCATTGAAAATAATATAGATTATTGCATATTTGCGCAAAGCTCGTGGTGAATGGATTTTACGCCGCGCCAACGGCTGGGTGCTGCTGAAAGCTGGCTAACCGCAGACCAACGCAAAGAAATTAAGGGGCACCCAGAGACCCTTCGAGGAGTGGCCGCGCGAGTACACACCTGTGCGAGCCCGGGAAGAAGTCGAAGCAGCCGCGCAGCTCAGAGCTCCAGCGGTGTGCCCGTAGTGTGAAGCAGCCCCTCCCCCCCCCCCCACCCGGGGGCCGAGCGTGCGGTACAGATGCGCACAGTCTAACAGCGGTTGGCGCGGGCGAGAAATGAGAATTTTTTTTTCAATAATGAGGGGTCGAAAGAATGCGTGCGGGTTTTGCGCAGCAGCCACCGCGCACGTCTAACGGTCGCAAGGGCAGAGAAGTGATCAGGTGCAGCAGCCAGGTGCGGATGGGAACAAGGAGAAACTCAGACAAGGTTCCGAATTGCAGGGAGAAAATACCATGTGGCGTGTCAAACAGAGAGCGTGGCGCGGGCGTGGGCGGGGCCACCGCCTCGCGCGCCGCGCCTCGGGCGGAGGCGGTCCCACACACGCACGACCCTTGCCGGGCATGCCACGCCGCGCCGCGCCGCGCCGCGGCGGGCAGGCGGCGCCCGCTCACAGCGCTCACACGCCCCCGTCGGGCGCGCCGCCGGCGCCAGCGCCGTCGGTTCTGACGAGGCGCGCCAGAAGGGACACAAGCATCGTCGCCGGGTTGTCGCCGCCGCTCTGCGCCGCGGCCTCAGGCGCGAGCGCCGCCTGCGGCTGCGGCTGCGGCGGTGCTGGCGCCGGCGGGGGGCACGCGGGGGCCGGCAGCCGCGGAGATGTAGACCGAGAAAGCGCTGCCGCGGCGGGAGGGGCCTCGCAGGTCAAGGACGACAGGCGGCGGCTGCTGCTGCTGCTGCGCCGCGCCTTGCAGCGGCCCAAGCGGCGCGAGTGGCGGAAGCGGAAGGCTGGCGCTGCCGTCGCTGGCGCCGCTCGCGCCGCTGTTGTGGGTGGCCTGGAGGTGGGTGTGCACGGTCAGCCCCGACTCGTAGCTATGGGGGCAGCAGGCGCCGGCGCCGCCCAGCTCGTCGCGTGGCAGGAGCGGCTCGGGGAGGGGCGGCCC